TTGTCCGGCTTCTTGGCAGGCCTGCGGCACATTGCCCGGAAGTGACCCATTCCATTACAGTTGAGGCACACTTTGTTGATCGATGGACACAGCGATTTCGTGTGCGCTGTGCGTCTGCAGTTACGGCACTTATGAGGAGCAGAAGTGTGCTTCCCCTCAACTGGGGGCTGTGAAGCTGTCTTCACACGCTGAGAAGACGACTTCCTGGCAGCGTTGACTTGGCCGGCGGTAGGGATGTGGCGGCTGGTCTGTGTGGCTGCCTCTTCTGCACGACACACCTTGACTGTCACCTGACTCTAGGTTACAAGCGCCAACGCAATGTTCCTACACGCGACTGTCTGGGTGTAATTGTAACCGCACTAGCAGCCTATTTCCATATGCGTCTTACCATGTACAAGTGTGGTGCCCGCATCACCTCTTCAGTAGCCCCTGCTACATACGTCCTACTATGTGGTAGTCTGCGAGTAATCAATTTACCCACAGGGAGTCTCAATATATCCCAAAACTTGTCTTGGATGACTGTGTTTGCAGTTTTCTCACAATCGAACTATGTAGGCTGAAGACACTGCTCTCAACTTGCGATTGCAATAACCGCTGAAGGAATGGGACCTATATTCGTTGAGTTATAGCGCTCAACGAACGAGCATATCGCCATACGCTCAAAGACTTTTCCGCAGTTGATTTTATGTATGATGACTGGTGCTCTAGTTTATTGATTGCTTTGTAGCAGTAGCTTTCCCGGAGGCTATATACCGTGGAATATTTCTAGAGATTGGTTTGCCTGATTCACGGGCCTTTCTGGGTGGCGTGTTTTTTTTATTGAAATTTGACCGTTTTCTCTTGTTGCTAGAGCCCTAGCAGCAGTACCCTGTCAAAGAGATAAACAAGACGCCTGGCAAAATGACTCCTGACTACAACATCATACATCCACATGCACACTTGCCTAGACAAAGACAGTTTGGGGAATGTCATTACAACTAACATCACTAGGTAGTTCTAGAATAGCCTGCGTGTCTGCAAGTGCCAATGTGTGTGGGTATGTGTGATGTACTAAGTATGCATGTGCATCACAACACAATGCTTGCAATCCACTTCTCGCTCATTTCCTTCATACAGTGGTACTATGTTGTGCAGTGCACATAACAGACTTACTGAAACCTATCCCCAGTCAAGTTCGTGTACCAGAAAGCAGTTATCTAGGTTTGCCAGTGCTGAACACACTTTACAGCTCTATATCATCACTGCTATATGTAGGACTCAGTATAGAGTCCATGCACTATATGATGTCCAGCACCCTATATAGAGTCCATTGGTCCAAAATCCACTATACAGAGTCCAGGAGTCCACTCAGTTTTGATCAGCTTCATCCTGCCGCGCAATCCCCTATAAGGAGTACACTTTTTCTACAAGTCCCCTATTCACGGTCCAGGAGTCCAGTTTATCCAGTCACGCCGTCCTGTGTGTTGTGTCCGAAATTGAAGAGAACAAACACCTTTTCAGTTTTGCTTGCCTCATGGCAGCGCATTCCTTTCTTCACTTCAGCCATGGCTGCCAGTTCTGCTGTGCAGTTGCTGACAGTAATCTGTCTCGAGGTAACCAAGGAGGATAAGGAGACGTTCAAAATCAAATCTGGAAAGCGTCTTGTGGTTCTCTGAAGACGTTTCATCAGTGCGCGGGATGAAAGCAGAAATTGCAGAACGAGAAAAGTTCCGCACAGTTCAAATCTGACGAGTCAGGTACACTGACACTCTCTTTCGTTCGACGCCACAAGGATCCCCTGTTTGGCTGGCCATTGCTGCCAGTAAGGCGTTTGAACGGTTTCATCAGAGCGAGGGATGAAAGCAGAAAGCGGAGAACGAGAAAAGTTCAGCACAGTTCCAATCTGACGAGTCAGATACACTGACACTCTCTTTCGTTCGACGCCACAAGGATACCCTGTTTGACTGGACAAGAGCTGCCTGTACCACCGTGTCAAAAGGCTGTCCAACTACATGGCAGGACGATGACTGAGGTAAGGAAGCTTTTACTCGTTTCGATTGGTTTGCTGTTTTGTCGTTATGCTTGAATTTTTTTCCATTTTCAAGGATCGTATCGCGTTTGTTTGATGTTGCTTGAATGAATGCCCTAAAAGTAATCAACCACTTCGTAATAGTCCTCAAGGACTGCAAGGACTTTGCATCAATCGTATATGATCGTCTAGCTATCATCAATTATTATTTTATTTCATGAGAAATGTATTTTTATCCCTGTGATAATTATGTGAACTCCACGACACTCTTCCTCTACTACTAGTACTAGGCTCTAGTATGATGTCAAATACAATGGGATCCACAAACGCAGTGCCAGTGTACTAGTAGTAGTAGTAGTAGTAGGAGGATTTCTCGTATGCCGATGACAAGAAAAAGCTTCTCAAGCTAATACATGTACTCGTATTCCATGAAGTAACCGCTTTGATGTCACAAACATGACATTGTGTCAGTGAAACTGCCTCGTGACAACAGATCATTGCATTTCCATCTTGGGGAAGACTGACTGACGGCAACGCTGTACAGATTGTTCAAATCATCTCATTTCAATTTAGTTGCAGTGAAGTGAAACACTGTGTACACTACATGTATGGTGGTGTGTCTGTGCATCTTGAGTGTGCACAAACGATCTTACTGTAAGACATGTTATTATAACGAGTCGCAAATTTAACGATTGTCCAAAATTCATAGGTTAACGAGAAGATAATGTTAACGATCTTGCAGTATTCTGCCATATCCACACATAGCATAATATGAATCAGTACGGCCTCAACGGATCTTATTATAACGAAGAAATGTCATCCGTTAAAACGTTAGATTTGCTTCCTCCTAATATTATACATGTCTTACAGTATTCCTCGTATTGCTAATAGATTATTGTCCCCACCGTCACCTGTTCACAGGTCTTTGAGTGGATGGATTTTCATTGAGCATTACATTCGTTGAGAACTTGGTAGTTGTGTGCTTCTATGCATCATTACGGTAATACGCGTATCCTTGTGCTATCTATTTGTTGCAGGTGTGCTGATCTTCAGAAGATTGCGGAACTGAGTGCTGCTGAACATTTGCATGGCCATGAGCAATGGTGAAGCTTGCTATTGCACTCTCAGCATGTCCTAGTAGACTACTGCACTATGTTACTCTCTTACGCTACTACACGTATGTAAACGTGCGCGCATCCGCCCACGTATGCATTCGTTTCGTATAATTATTTGTTATCCCTCTTGACTTTACGTGTAAATGGGTGGACGTTTGCATGGCTGTTGGAGTTGCGTGTTTATTGTGTCTCTACTCTTTTCTTGGTGTTTTCCTGGCGTTGTATAAGTTTGTGTGTGTGTGTGTGTGTGTTTGTGTGTGTGCGCGTGCACAATAATTTGAAAACAAATAATTAATCCTTGGCTCTCCATTATTCTCTTTCGATTCTTGGTTTTTTTCTAGGTATTTTCTTGGTGTTGTGTGGGTATGTGCATGTGTGTGTGTGTGTGTGCGTGCACAATAATTTGGCAACACTACATGATTGAGATATTGTAATTTGCAGTGTCTGCGAAAAGACCACTTGATTTGAGGATGGTGTTTGTAGGGTTTTTCATGTAATGAAGTGGCTGCAGTGGCGCCTCAATACTTATTTTTTATCTTGAGAAGTGAATGATGTAAAGGATTAAAGGGAGAGGCCGTTTTCTGGTTAATATTCACTGCTTACAGCAGATCCTTTGTCTAATTTCGAACTCTGGATAGGGGATGCCTAATTGGCTGGACTTTATACAAGGAGTGTTGTCCACATAAAGACTCCTTATAGTTGATTTCAAAGTTTGGACTCCATACAGTTGATTTTGGACCAATGGACTCTATATAGGGGTGAAGCCAATTGGCTGGACTCTATACAGGGAGTGATGTCCATCTAAACTTTGAGCTCACAGTTGATTCCAAGTTTGGACTCTGTACAGTGGATTTTGGACCAATGGACTCTATATAGGGGTTGGACATCATATAGGGGCTGGACGCTCTACTGAGTCCAACATATATCACTAGTAGAGGCTAGCTGGCTTTGATGTAGATCAATCCAACTTTTCGACCTAGATAGTGACTTCGCCAAAAAGTGATTCATTAGTTTTCAAAGATGCCATGTTCACAAACACATGTTTAGCAGAAGAAGATGATGCGTTCCCTGTCCCAGTATTTACCTATACACCATGCAATCCCAGTATTTACCTATACACCGTGCAATCCCAGTATTTGCCTACACACCGTGCAATCCCAGTATTTACCTATACACCATGCAATCCCAGTATTTACCTACACACCATGCAATCCCAGTATTTACCTACACACCATGCAATCCCAGTATTTACCTACACACCATGCAATCCCAGTATTTACCTACACACTATGCAATCCCAGTATTTACCTACACACCATGCAATCCCAGTATTTACCTACACACCATGCAATCCCAGTATTTACCTACATACCATGCAGTCCCAGTATTTACCTACACACCATGCAATCCCAGTATTTACCTACATACCATGCAATCCCAGTATTTACCTACACACCATGCAATCCCAGTATTTACCTATACACCATGCAATCCCAGTATTTACCTACACACCATGCAATCCCAGTATTTACCTACACACCATGCAATCCCAGTATTTACCTATACACCATGCAATTCCAGTATTTACCTACACACCATGCAATCCCAGTATTTACCTACACACCATGCAATCCCAGTATTTACCTACACACCATGCAATCCCAGTATTTACCTACACTCCATGCAATCCCAGTATTTACCTATACACCATGCAATCCCAGTATTTACCTACACACCATGCAATCCCAGTATTTACCTATACACCATGCAAGTATTTACCTTCACACCATGCAATCCCAGTATTTACCTACACACCATGCAATCTTACCATGTACAAGTAGACATTGCTTTTCCATGTGCTTATGTTTGTACTGTAGCAATGAAAGCAGCGTCTGAAGAGGAGAGTAAGGACAAGTATCGACCACCAGGTCTGGCTGAGTACAGTGATCACTACTACTCAACCAATGCACCTCATCCAGACCTGGTGAGAGCATGTGAAGATGACGATGTGGAACAAGTACGACACACCGTGAATATCGGCACTCCAACTGAACCAGTGACTAGACCGGATCTCTCGGAACAAGTGCCGAAGTCATACTTTCACGTTAGGAAGCATGGTGAGAGAATTCCCATGACAATCATGGTAAGTCAGAAGTATCTCCTCCCTCCCCCAAATGAATGCTGCTTTGCCAGTGTCGCACCAAAGCAATTTTCACCTCCCAAACTAAGTACAACTTGCAATTAATTTCAACGACTTTTAGCGGTGCATTAGTTTAGGGCTGCACCGGGTAGGGGTTTTGTCAGGTAACGGGTCCAGGTATTTTATCCGGGTAGTCCGGGTACCCTATCAGGTATTTTTGACACAGTTTGTACTGTGAGTGTGCACTTGCGCTACATTGAAATTGTACAGTAGCATGTACATATAGCCATGCTGTTTACATGCACCGTTGCAAAAACACTGTACTCCAACCACCTGATCGAATTCTCAGGAGAAAAATGGATACCCTACTATTTCCTCCGGAAACAAAAACTTCGTGACTTTTTGATATTACTTTTCAAGGAGTTACTGAGCTCAACAAAAGTGTTCTTTTCGAAGAGAAACAATTGAACACATTCAATCGACATATCTACAATATCTACGGGATCGATTAGTGGGAGTAGAGTGTCAGTCTGGGTCGCCATCGCTCAACTCATCACCGCTGAAACCGTTCCAAGTGGCAGGTCGATTAACAGGATGTCGTATGTCACGAAGCTTCTCTGCATCTCTGATCATCTTCGCTGTTACCTGGATGCCTTCTCCAACTATTTGCTTTCACTCAGATAGCAACCGGTTTGTACATGGGGTAGTGGTCTATCCGAGAATGTACTCACGAGTAGTGGTCTACCCGAGAATGTACTTGGGTAGTGGTCTACCAGAGAATGTACGTGGGTAGTGGTCTACCAGAGAATGTATGTGGGTAGTGGTCTACCAGAGAATGTACGTGGGTAGTGGTCTACCAGAGAATGTACGTGGGTAGTGGTCTACCAGAGAATGTACGTTGGTAGTGGTCTACCAGAGAATGTACGTGGGTAGTGGTCTACCAGAGAATGTACGTGGGTAGTGGTCTACCAGAGAATGTACGTGGGTAGTGGTCTACCAGAGAATGTACGTGGGTAGTGGTCTACCAGAGAATGTACTTGGGTAGTGGTCTACCAGAGAATGTACGTGGGTAGTGGTCTACCAGAAAATGTACGTGGGTAGTGGTCTACCAGAGAATGTACGTGGGTAGTGTGGTCTACCAGAGAATGTACGTGGGTAGTGGTCTACCAGAGAATGTACTTGGGTAGTGGTCTACCAGAGAATGTACGTGGGCAGTGGTCTACCAGAGAATGTACGTGGGTAGTGGTCTACCAGAGAATGTACTTGGGTAGTGGTCTACCTGGGAATGCACATGGGTAGTGGTCTACCAGAGAATTCACTCCGTGTATCGTATTTCACACACGCAGCCACACGCTAGCAAAAAAAACAAGGCAAGAAAGTAATAAAGAGCAAGCCTGCCAGCAAGAGAGATGTCAGTGCAAGACATGGGCAGAGCAATGGCACGGTGTGGGTTACTGGGCAGCAGGGTAGCACCTGAAAATTCGACTCCCTAAATTTCCAGCCATGACCGCTACACCGGGCTGGCGGAAAACTCGCCTTGCCGCCAAAAAACTCTTCTAGTAATATGGGACCTGCCGCACTGCCAGTCACAACCAAAAAGCCGAAGATAAGCAAGTGGAAGAAAACAATTATACAAAAAAACGCTGAGCCCCTCGGAAGAGAAACACAGCATGCCACATGCCATGGAAAACCAGAAAACGACGGACAAAACAAGCAAAACCGTACAGGACCCAACGGTGGGTGGGCGGTAAAACTCCAAGCTAACATGAGGAACACAGGACCATGTCATAACATGTGGCAACTGAGCACTACTAGCAAGGCTTGAGCTTCGTGATTCGCAGATCACACGTTCACCCCCCCCCCCCGTCCGTCGGGGGGGGGGGGCTGTGTTCACGTCGTCAATCTGCCACTCTCCTCGGCGGCATACATTCCTCATCCTCAGTGGTCGCCCAATTAGCTGGAATTCCAACTGGACCAGATGCCAAGGGCAGTGTGGGGGAGCGCACCTCTACAGTAATGTCAAGGCCGCCACCCAAAATTGGCATGCATGGCCACCTCCTCCAGCAACTGGCCAAGTACATCAGCTCCACCCGTCAAACAGTCCGGCAAGTAAGTCACCCATGGCAGATCCCGACCCAAGGATGGCAGGGTGCCACGCCACTAGCTCTGCTTTGAAGCAGACATGTGCAGACAGTAGTAACACACAGTTTCTATCACTCACCATACCAGCCAGCCCTGCTCTTGATTCCAATATGCCATGTATTCACATGCCCATCAATGTTGTCAGCTTTACTAGACTGCTCACTGATCATTTAGGCGAGGCATTCTCCACGTTCGTGAGCAGGGGCTTATAATCTGGATTCCGCATAGCCTTAGGCTTCATGGGTCGCCGTCAGACTGTGAAGGACCCAAATATTCGCTCATGTGCCGAACATTCCTTGTACATGCTGGAGTTTCTAGTATTCACACGCCCACTGAATTCGTCCGCTTTTCTAGACTGCTCACTGATCATCCAGACAAGGCATTCTCTTCCTGCGTGAGCAGGGACTTACAAGCTGGATTCCGCATAGGCTTCACGGGTCGTCGTCAGACTGTGATGGACGCTAATCTTCCCTTATGTACTGAACATCCCGTGCACATATCAGAGTATCTGGCAACATCCTGTGCACAAGGAGAGACCTGCGGCCCATATTTCATCCCTCCATTTCCATCCTTCCAGTACTTGGGCATTGGCATGGTGCCCAAGAAGAATAGAAAACTACGCATTTCCACCATTTATCAGCTCCCGTTGGCAAAAGTGTTAACGATGGCATTGATCCGTCCGCGTTTAGCCTGTCTTATATTCGGATTGACGACGCAATGCAAACAATCATGGCCTGCATTGCTGACACAGCTGGGCATCCGCAATGCATTCCGCATTCCGCTCATCCCTGTGTACCCGCCGGACTGGTCTCTGCTTGGTATTCAGTTATTATTATTATTATTATTTATTATTATTATTATTGTAGAAAGGAAAAGGACATATGGATACGAGTTAGGAGTAACTCTCCATCACTGTAACTGGATACTATATACAGTCAGAAAGTGCAATAACTAGGCACAAAACTGACAAGAGTACTGAGACATTCGACGTCCTGACACCTAGCTTCAACACATCTCCGTAGCGCTAACCGACAGCCTTCCAACTTGGAAGGTTCAAGGTTATGGAAAGACCAAAGAGGGGAACGCAAGCGCTTTGTTAAATATCGTACTGGTCTCGTTGTCGTCCAGTAACAATCGACATTCTTTGTTCCGTTGGGACTGTAGCTTTTGCTCGTTTTCGTTGCGCTTGCCTTCCCCTCTTTGGGCTTTCCATAACCTTGAACCTTCCAAGTTGGAAGGCTGTCGGTTAGCGCTACGGAGATGTGTTGAAGCTAGGTGTCAGGACGTCGAATGTCTCAGTACTCTTGTCAGTTTTGTGCCTAGTTATTGCACTTTCTGAATGTATAATCGAGTTACAGTGATGGAGAGTTAACTTGTATCCATATGTCCTTTTCCTTTCTACATTTATTTATGGCTCAACATCCGAGTTTCAAATTATTATTATTATTATTATTTTGTTTGTTCGCGTTTGCATCAACCTGCATAAAGCAGGTATATAGCCTTCGCTCAAGCTACTTCCTCCGCGTCATCGAAATTGTCGCAGTTTGACTAGTGACTTGTCACTTGTTACTGACAACTCCATAAGCTAAGCCATTCAAAACTTATTACACAGTATGATAGTCTGAAGACTAGAGTAACGTTCCGGAACAGTTGGACTGAGAGTTTTCATGCAGAGATGAAGTCCTCGTCGTCGCTGATGTCAATGGACGCAAAAATTTCGTTCCGAAATATTTCAAGGAAGGTTGAAAGTTGGTTGCGCCTCATCTCAAACGCTTTGACTTTCTCCACAGGACAAGAGCTGCTATGCTTGTCGTCTGCTAGCTCTGGATGATTTCTACTTCACCACCAACGAAGCCTAGTAAGAATACACGATCGTTGCGAGGTCGGTTGATTACCGTCGGCGGAATCACCTCGATCTTGAAATGAACTTTTTTTAGCCGTGGCATGCCCATTTATTTTAGCTGTTTGGTCACAGCTCATGCAGCTCAGGTAAGTGTACTATCGCGTTCAGCGCGCCCTGTTTTTCAGCATCACTGGTATACCATGGTACGGCACCTGCGCGTGCATCACTAGCACTACGTGTAGAGTCTACACGGCTCTTGCAGGTACAATCATGTACTGAGTGTCTCAGCTAGAGCGACAAATTTTATCGCTGTTGCAGGCATTTAGTTTGCTGACCCCTCGATGTTTCTCCAAGCGCTGCCACTTGTTCCATGAAGTCATTCTCACCCCAGCTAAGGTAAAACAGTGATGAGGCTTGAGTGAATGGCCATAAGCACGAGAAATGTGCAGGCTGCAACGCCTCACTGATCTCCGCGAGTCGAAATTACCATCGCAGCGACATCAGCGAAGAAATTGCGTCTAGTTCAAAAATTCCAGCTTCCAATAACAGAAAATAGAACTTTACCGTCACCCTATACTGATGACTATCGCCTATATCCCATTCCCTGCCTCTGGTACGAGTGCTGGTGAGTAAATACCCCGTTTTATATCAAAAGTCAAACTGCGACAATTTCGATGACGCGGAGGAAGTACCATAAAAAAGAAACCTCATCCTAAGCGAGAGGACTAGCGGAAAAGATAACGATAACGAGATACAGAATACAAAGAAATCCAATGAGTTAAACGGGTATTCAGTGGCAAGGAAAATTTTACTTTGATCGAGTGCTGCTGCCGTACGGCTTACGCTCCAGCCCACACAACGCAAACTCAACCACTTCTTGGGAAACCCTCCTTTGCGTCAAGCATCGTCGCACGAGGCAGAACATTTGCACGACACTTATTGCATATCAATAAGAGGTTAGCCGATCGCCGATGCTCTGTCTCGTTTCAACCTGCAAGCATTCCATCAGCTGGCGCCA